GACTGTAGGGTCGATCCCCACCATGTTCGAGTGATCCCAGGCAAAGACATCCGAATTGCACCGAATGACCCTGATCAATGCTTCCTTCTCTTCGGCTGTGCAAGATGAGCCAATGTAGGTGATCTTCTGGGGGTCTCCGAGGACTACCTCTATAGCTTCGAGGGACTCCTCGGTAGGTGCTTCAGGTTCGGCTTCTTCCTCTGCCTTGAGATACTTGGGCAGAGGATACTGTAACTGCTATTTGATCGCGTCTTTGGGATTCGGCTCTGACTGAGGTGACTTTGACGTTTTCTTTGCTTCATGTAGCGTTAGCATGTAACATTCTTTTGCAGCAACCTGGTCTCCCCAGAGGTCGATGACCTCCCTGCCATCCGGGGATAAACACCTCATTACTTGGTGAAGTGTAGAGGGGACTCCGTTCATACGATGGATCCAACCTCTCCCCATAATGAGGTTATAAGATGGATGAATTTCTGTTACGACGAAGTTTTCCTTCAGAGTTCTCTTTGCTGCAGTAACGGATAGATCGATCACCCCGAGCGGATTCACCTTAGTACCATCAAATCCCATTAGGGGGCTGGAAGTTGGCCTGATGGACGATGATGAAACCCCCAACTGATCAAAAGCTATTTTTGTAATGATATTGGCGCTACTTCCCGGATCTATCAGCACTCTCCTGATCATATAATTCGCTACCAGGAGGCTGATGACCAAGGGGTCCTTATGCGGGCGCTGGACTCTAGAAAGATCATTGTTACCGAATCCAATGTTGATGCTGCCTGGTGCAACCGTGTTTACTGAAGACACTCTTCGTAACTTATGAGCCTCTCTCAGCCTGGATCTGTACAACTCTTCAGACTCTTCATCATCCTCTGACCTTCCGTGTATAGCATGGATAACCTTTACCTGACCGCCCTCTACCCGTCGAGGGTTAACCTCCCGAAGTTTTACGTGCTCCTTCGTGGTGAGATACTCCACCAATTCTCCTCTCGCTATCATGCTTTCTACTTGTCGCTGTAGGGACCTGCAGTCATTGGTGGTATGCCCATAATCTCTATGGTAGGCACAATGTTTGCTTTTGTCCCTCTGCTCCAAGGGTTGCTTCATGGGCTGAGGAGTCGCGAACCTCGTCTTATTCTCTTGGAATAGGCGCGCCAAGGTAGTACGGAGAGGGGTAAGCCTGTCCTCTGTCCTTCGCCTTTTCTCAGACGCTTGGGTGACTTGTGTGGCGGTATGAGGAACCTTCTGCATCCTTGTGCTCGCAGCTTTCTCTCGAGACTTGTTTTCCACCGTGACGAGGGTAGCGTGCTGTGCACGGTGGGCTACGTTTTCCTCCAACCGAATGTAGATTTGTGCCCTAGCGTTCAAAGTCTGCATATCCGGGGGGAATATTTGACCAAGGATGTATGAAACTTGGTTCCCTGGATCATTGCCAACTTAAATGTTTCGATTGCCGTGGCAGGATGGCAATCTGCTATCTCCAAGGCCTCCATGTTAAACCTGGATAAAAAATCTTGCAGAGTTTCCCCCTTCCTTTGCCTTATGGTGAAAAGGCTGGCGATACAATTCTTCTGCTTCTTATTTCCGCAATACTGGGCTAAGAACATAGTGCACAAGGTCTCATAGTCAGGGATAGATTTGTGTGGCCTATTCCTGAACCATTCTAACGCTGCTCCGGTTAAACTGGTAGGAAAAACCTTACACATCCACGGATCGTTATGATCGTCCAGTGCCATCTTTTGTGCATAATGATCGAGATGCCGAGAGGGGTCTCCTGCCCCATCGAACTGGGTGAAGGATGGCATAGTGAACTTCTTCGGCCTCTCCACAAGGTACACTTCGTCAGTAAAGGGGGTCTTGACCAAGGAGTTCTTGTGCTCTCTAGCCATCTCGGCTGAGTTCTTGTGCTCTCTAGCCATCTCGGCTGGTGTTTGGACTCTCAAGAGCTTCTTTTCGTCGAAGGCATCTTGTACCCGTGCGCCATCTGGAACGCCATTGGACCATACCGTAAGCCTATGGCTGGACTCGGCCTGTTCGTCCTGTGTGCGATGCGGGAGATTATCCGAAGCAACCGCCTCGGACCTCGTCCCTTAGTTTTGCTGAACCTCACTAGGTCGAGCCCCGTTGGGTGGTGTCTCGTTGGCTGGAGGCTCGTGAACCGGAGGTAAATTCCGGGTGGGGGGTGGTGCCGCAGCATCGCCTGGTGGTGGTTGTGGCGTTAGCCTGGCCATGGCCGTGTGTAGCGTATGAGTCTGCTGCTGAAGCGTAGCTATCTGGGCGACACTCGTATCGTTTGCTTGCCGGAGTGTCTCAAATTGGTGCAAGAACTCTTCTCGCATCTTTTGCATCAATTCTATCTGTTGATTCATTGCTGACTCTCCGTTTGACATTCCAGACACGACTAAAGGATTTAATTTGCAGAACAAGTGGGAGTATATTTCTATACGCTTCTCACAGACGGCGCCAAAGTGTAGGTGCAAAATTTCGCCCAACCAATAATGATTGAGAAAAATAAAACAACTCACTCAAAAACAATAAAAATAAATAAGAACAGTGTGTAGAGAAGCGTAGAATTGCTTGATCCTTTATTGGAGGTCTTAGCCTCTATTTATATACAAAAGATTGCAAAATTATGGTAGGACTCGCGTTGCTTGCCCTCCAATTCTTTCTATATAACCATTCTTTTCTAATAGAGTTCTTTCCATTGTCGAATTTTCCATACATAGAAATTGCCTTGTACAGAACTTCCTATCCGAATTTTCCTTCTACAGCAAATCCTTCAAATGGTAGGATTTGTGCATTCTTGGGCTGAATATATTTTGATCCGGCTGGGTTTGGGTAACAGGCCGGATGTTAAATACTCATACGCTGGGCTGACGACAAGCTGGGCTGATGACATCTTGATTCGGCCTTGATGGAAGTTGGAGGACAAATAACAATGGTCTTGGGCTGTAAATACCCTCAACTTGGGCTTGAGCATGATGGGCCTTTTATGTCCTTGGAATGTAGATGTGGGTAGTGGTGACGTGTGCGCTTTTTATTGGAGGGAGTTTTTTTTCCCTCCACAACTTGTAATACGGGTTTTAGAGTTTTATAACAGAAATATCAATATGTTTCTCTGAGCTTGTATCATTGATTACTTTATATATATATATCCCTTTTTCCGCGTTAAAATCTTCGTGGTCTCTGTTGGGTGTGTTATGAAACAGACTCTCTGTTACTTATTTCAAACTTGTTATAATAATTCGGTCGTAAAAATTTCAAAAAGATCCCATCCTACACCACCCAATTCAAGCTTTCTAATATGTTTTTGCCCCCATCAATTTCGCTCTCATATTTGCCGATAAAGTGTCAGTCAAGTTGAATTGGAAGAGTTCTTCATGGATTAATAATAGTGCTTCCCAGCAAATTCTCAATTCTCTTTGAATGTGATTTTCAAATATAGCTGTTGAATTTTTGTGCTTAGAGCATGAGAAAGGGAGACAATTGATTTGTTCTTAAAAATGCAAGATGTTAAGGTCCATTGCATTACTGTGACTTTCACGTCCTAGGAAACAGTTTTACACACGCACACACACATACATATATATCAATCAGGTAAGTACTCACATACACTTTTGCCCACTCCGAAGCTTGAACCCCTCCCCTCCTCTTTGAAGATAAGGAGATTATACCATGGACTAGAGGCGCTATGGTAATACACGGTTTTGTTCCACAACCAAAAAAACCCAAAATTGATCATGGTCATGAGAGGGCAGAGCAGAGGGGTGACAACAAACAATCATGTTAGTATTTTTTATCATCACATATAAAACAATAAAACATCTCCTAAACCAAACAATAGTCACTCACAATCCAAGATACAGCTTCACTTTCTGAAATAGCATCTCAAAGCTTTTATAGAAGTATTCTGCATATTCCATCTAATCAACAATCATTCATAGAAATCCAAACCCCTGTGATACCAAGCTCCCGGTACATCACATTGAGGTACTGTGGATCCAAATTAGGGCAATATGTAGCACTAGTGCAGAAATCTAAACCCCAATATTATGGTCCATTCCATCAAAATGCAGGGTAAATAGCAGGACCTTGAGCTCCTCTCCAACAAGATTTCTAAATGATTTGGGATATTATGTATATAATGTACTTTATATGAATATGCATATTTTGGTGAAAAGGTCTCTTGATAGGAAGAGGAGCAGTCTTGATGTCCAAGAAACAATAATGATATGTTTGGGAGTACTGAACCAGCTGCTTGGATTTGGAATTGAAAGAAATTTAGTTAAAATTTTAAACTAAACTAAATTTGTTCTAATTCCAAATCCATGACACTGATTCAGTGCTCCCAAATGCAACTTTAGTTTAAATTACCTAATCTTATCGAGGAAAACTGAAAGGAAATAGCAAATCATTCGGATAATTTGGAATTTTGGATATATTTTGCTCCACAAAAATTAGAACTGTAGTTGTTCTCTCAAGTGACATAATGCAACCAACTAATATATACTCTATTAGAATTGCATCAGGGCAAGTGAATTATGTTCCAATTAGAAGCAGAACCACTGTACGATAACCATGAATGCAACAAGAGATAAAGCATTGCGAAGGTTGGCGTCCTTCACCATACTTTCCCTCTTTTTCATAAAGTAATATGTGATAGAATCTCTCTCAATGGAGCAATAAAGTGGAAACAATTATGAGAGGAGGCAAACAAATCATTTATGATAATGTCCAACAACTCATGATGATGCAAAACATAGCAAAGGAAGAAATCTTGTGGAACCTAAACTCATATTTTAGAACCAAGTCTCCCATTTTACTACCGAATATTTATGCGGAAGTCTTGATACATAATAAATACACAACGGAAACAGGATATGACCGTATCAATATAAGCGAAATTTTCAAAACGACAACTATTCGAACTATGTACAATGAGTAACTCACGAGATGAAAAAAATTTCAAATCAAGAAAGCATAAACGCAGAAAAGTCTAGTTCTTTAAGTAATGACTCGTAAGCTTCCAAGAATAAATATCAAATATGAGAGTTCAATTGACATAATGCTCAAACTTCAAAATATAATAGGAACATGTTTTTGATGCTTTTCAGTAGCAGCAGCAGTTCTCTCACTGTTACTGAGTTCAGTAGCAGCAGAAGTTCTCTCAATATGTAATAGATAAGATGGCAAAGACTTGTTTAAAACTTGTTATGACCCATGTGCTGAATCACCAACTATCACAAATGAATGCAGTTCTTACATATATTCACATAAATTATCATTTGATGGAAACTTCAGTATGAGTCGATAACCCATGGCGGTGTTTCCAATATCATAAAGAACAAGACTTACAGAACAATGAAGAAGATCCATGGTGGTTGAAACAGCTTAAGAACAAGGAGGAGCCAGCTGATACCTGTCACATACAAAATATGTCAAAGCAACCAGGGGGAACTAAGTTTGTCACCTCCATGGAATATCACCAGCAATCATCCCATGTTTCATGTTTGATACCAATATGTGGGAGAGTTTATCCAAATTCAAATCATATTCAAGTCGAAGAGATCATTCCAAATGCTCACAACAAATCTTTGATAAAATCAAGGTTCAGCGTATCCCGGATAATAAGGAATAACCCAAGAACTATAACAAGCATGATCCCTGATGACATAATCCCCTGCTCTAATTCTGTAGGGAGCTTTCTTCCACCTCTAGCTGCCTCTACCAGAATCAAGGCCAAAGAACCCCCATCTAAAGCAGGCAATGGAAGAAGGTTTATCACTGCAAGGTTAAGATTGAGAATAGCTGCAAATTGATAAAGCCCATCAATATTTGACTTTGCAACTTCTGCTCCAACTGCTATAATGGCAACAGGACCCGAAACTTTACTTGCTGTTTGAGAGAAATTAAGAAAAGTCTGTTTCAAGCTGTCCAAAACATTAGATGACAGACCCCAAAATTCGCGTCCAGAGAAACTAAAAGCCTCTATGACAGTCTTTGGTCTAACTTTTGAAATCTTAACATTTGGTGATAATTGAACCCCAATTCGGCCTGTACCATCCGAATTCTCATCCGGGGTAACCCCAATTTCAAGATCCAGCTTTCCCCTCCCAACCTTGAGCAACACATTTCTTTTGGGATTGTTCTTAATGATATCAACAACCTCAGAAACCAAATTAGGCCCGGTTTTCGGCAATTCAATCCCATTGAAACCAAGAATTACATCCCCAGGGAGCAACCCATCTCGGGATGCAGCCGATAAGGGTCGAACCTCGGGCACAAGGACCCCAGGGAAGGCCTCTTGTACAGGCAATCCAACGGACAATATTTGCACAAAGATTATAACATAAGCAAACACTATATTGGCAATAACACCAGCTGAAATAACAATAACCCTATCAATGATTGGTCTATTTTTAAGCAAATTCTTGTCATCTACAGGAATATCACTATCAGGATCATTATCAGGAAAACCCACAAACCCACCTAGAGGAAATGCTCGAATTGAGTACTCTACATTTTTGGCATTGAATTTAGCTAAAATTGGACCAAAACCAACTGCAAATTTACTTACATGAATGCCTTGAAGATAAGCTGCTAAAAAATGACCACTTTCATGAACCACAATGATAGCTGTTAACACTGCAGATGCCTGCAGAACTGATTGAGCACTCTCAAAACCCCCAAAATCAAATCCAGCAATAGCACAACACCTGAAATTTTGCCTATTTCTATGTGGTTGTCTACTCTTGTGGTGTAAAAATGGATTTTTGCAATTTACATTGAGTTCTGAAGAAGAAAATGAGTGATATAATGTACAAGATACAGATTTTGGTAAGTGGGTCTTGGGCTTTAGAGGGAGTTCTGAAATGGGTGACTTTGAATTGATCAATCTGATGAGAGAGGAAGAGGATGGTGGAGAGGAGCAGAGGTTTATTATCATGGTGGTTTTTTGGTTTTCCTTTTTTCAGAGGTATTAAGAGGAGAGTTTGGGGTTACAAAAAAGGGCGAGAGAGAGGATAATTCATATTTTTCAGATTTTCTGTTCTGTGGAGGATAAGTGAGTCAGATGTTACGTCTCAATTGTTTTCCACAAGTTGGGCTTTTTTAGGAACTTTTGATGGTTTGGGATAAAATATGTGAATGAAAAATGGAAATACCCAAACGTATCTGTGGTTTCCCGGAGGAGCAGCCGGCGGTCAGCATACTCCGGTTGGGTTGACCGGTGTTACAAAAACCAGACCACATCAAATTGAATTATATAAAATAAAAATAAATTAAAAGAAAAAAAGAGAACCCCACCTCACTCTCATTTGAGAAATTTGTGTCATTCACCTATTATATTTTGTTATATAAATTTATAAATAAAAATATTTTATTCTAAGGTAAAATAATTTTTTTTTGAATTTTCTTTTCTATTTTAGGTAAAATATTGTTTTAAATTTTTATTTTTTGGTATTTGACAAATATTTAGGTCGAAATTAAAGTCGATGGAGCAAGGCGTGTAACATAACTTCTCCAAGGCATGTAACATAACTTGTCATTTTTGCTAGGTTTTAATATTTTTTTCCTCTTAAAATTTTATGACAACCAAATACAAAAAATAAAAAAATTTTAAAAAAATTTTATATCCAAATAAACGAAATTATTGAGTCCTATTACTACGTGTCAATATTTAATCATTTGATAATACAATGTTATTAATTAGGGACAGATTCAGGACCTAAGATAAGGGGGCAAAAATGAAATTTAGGGAACTGTAATATTTCTTAGATATATTACTAAAAATAAACAAATTATAAAAATATATTACTAAAAAAACAATTTAGTGAGAACAATTGCCTTCACAGACTTAAATGTAACTACGTCCCTATTATTAATACAACACGAATAATAAAATGTTTTTCGTGTGAAAACTATTCGTGAAAATTTGCCCTTGATCCCATCGTTTATATTAAGTTTGCATGTATGAGCATGTCTTCGCAATTTTGGAATAGATGTTTTTCTTTTTATCATAGAATCTTGACAAAGTGACTTTTTGCTAAACCATGCTACTCAAACAAAGGCATAGTAGTTATTTGCGTTAATTGTTAAACCAATGTGTTTTTTTTTGCGCAAACTTAAAGTTAGTATAGTTAGCTAAATGAAGGAAATTTGTTACTCTTTAAATTTTTTCAAACTTGATTAGATACATATGCAAACTAGAAAAGATAACAAATAATTATAAAAGAGAATAATGCATTAATTGTATTCTGTAAAAAAAATCAACCTAAAAAAGAATATGGAATTAATAGAGTATTATTTTGGTGAATTTAGTTTAGTTTGTCGAGATCAAATTACCATTTGAAAAAAAAAAAGAAAAAAAAAGCACAGATTCAAGGAATCATTCGACAAAGAAAAGTAATAATATGTTCAGTATGAATAAACATTATTAATTACTTAATTTTAAAGTCCTAATAATGGTATATGATGTACTATGGAAAATGTTTTTGTACAACAATTGAAGTAAAAAAATTAATAAACTTGTGTAAAATGTTAAACAAGTATTAAATGTAAAGGTTGAATTTTAAGTAATTATTTTATGAATAATGCTTTATTTAATTAAATTGATTTTCCGTAACACTGGTATTCACTTGTCCCGACGGAAGTGGTGTGGTTTGGGCTTGTCCGTGGTCGAGTGATTACGGATGTGATCACTAAATAGAAGTGGTCCAAGCCCAAGTCTGACTAGGCCTAGTCCGCTATGATTCAAAAGCCACCCGAAGCATGGAGCTTGAAAGCTCTTCAATGATTTCTTATTCATTCTTTTTTCTTCTTTAATTTTAATTATTATTTTTTCTTTTATTTATTTAATTATTTTTTGGGGTTACTCTGAGGTGCTTTTATTAGGCCACATATTCTACGAAGAATGAACTTCCATCTTATATGGCCTAACACAATTATCGTCCAAAATATCTTTCAAAAAATAATAAACAATTATATTCCAAAATAAAAAATAAAAAAGAAATTCAATCTTACCAATAAAAGAAACCAGGGCTAATTTCATTGACACCCTCTTAAGTTTGGTCAAATTATTATCATTCAAATATCAAATGACTTTTTCGTGAATGACACTGTTAAAAATGTGCGAAAAGATAATTTTACCTTTAATTTTTTTTAATGCATTTTATTGTAAAATATTTTAAAACTAAAATGCAATTTTCCTCTCTGCAAATTTCACTCTCCCGTTCTTTCCCTGATCACCAAAAACCCAATTCATCATGCCTGTTGTGGTGATTTTGAAAGCTTTGAATCTGTTGTGTGAGACCAAGGACAAAAATCATTTATTAAGAGGAATGGTATTGCCCAAGCAATGGCAACGCCACAGACATCAACAACAGTAGTTAGACATAATTAGAGCAGTGGTCTTCATATATCCTACTGTTTCCACTGATGGGTCATCGACGAAGTGGGACATATAGAGAGAAGGGAAATAGAGTACTGGTTGTACTATTAATAATTGTTTCTATTCTCATTTCTTTTGTTTTGTTGATCATGCTGTGTCAATGAATGCAAATCTTTCTAAATGGTAAATGGAGATGGAAGAGAGAATTACAATTCCTTTCTTCTGAGGGATACTATATTTGTTGTTTTTTTGTTTACTGGGTAACTAATCTTTTTGTTTTGCTCTTCCAAACAAAAAAAAAAAATCCTTTCATATCTCTTATCAATTTACTTCTTGATTATGTGTGTGTACATAATATATATATATATATATATATATATATATATATATATATATAGAATAATTGTAAATTTATAAGGTCAAAGGGTATCTAAGTCATTTTAATTATTTTTGTAAGTTAATATAAAATTAAAAGGGTAACAATGTCATTTTACATGCAAAAGTGTTTTGACACCATTGAAAAGTAAATTTAGAGGTGTGAGTGAAAAAGGACCAAACATTTATAATATAATTAATTGTAATTTTTTAACGGTATTTTAATATGATATTTGACTAAATTTAAGGAGTATTGTAAGTTAAATTAACAAAAAAAAAAAAATCAATAGACAAAAATGTCATCCTTACAAATAAAAAATCCACCATAAAATTACTTTTTAGAGTAGAAATCTTTTGTCTGGGTCGAAAATAGTCAATGCTGGCCACAACAAAAAAGGGTTCTTTTTAGTAATTTTTTTTTCCCCCCTCCAAAATGCCTTTGGACTCTCCTTATATTATATTATATTGCCACTTTTAGAAGGACTGAAATTTGAGTTAAATGTTGCAGGTATTTTGTAAAAATTGCGTGCTTACAAATTATTTAAAAATTAAAATAAAATAAGTAACGGGAATTGATGGTCGTTAATAATAATATTAATAATTATTATTATAATTTGATACTTTAAAAAGTGATCCATCATCCATCAAACTTGAGAAGGAAACGAAAAAGAAAGGTCATAAAATCAAAGTCCAAAGATGCTACGATGTTCCGAAATCCAAAGGTGTCTCGTAAGTGGGTCTCCTGCTTTAAATTTTCTTACCATGAGTCCAGACAAATTTGCATTGAAGGAGTCAGATTTGATCAATGACGTGTGTGTGTATATATATATAGCACATAAATGTCTATATAATCCGCATAAAAGAACAAAATTGCATTGAAAGAGTCAGATTTGATCAATGACGTGTGTGTGTGTGTGTGTGTGTGTATTGCACATAATTGTCTATATAATCCGCATAAAAGAACAATTTCATGTAAGCTTCCCGGGAGATGACGAATTGATGATGCTTATTTGACATCATAAAATTGAAGGACTTTGACACAATTAAATAGTACCAGTGGTTCGAAATATAAAAAAAATATTTGAAATTTTTTTTATTATTATTTGTTATGTTAGGGCTCTTACAACATACAATAAACTCACTATGAGACGCATGCAGAACTCGGTCTCACATGTAACAGGCAAAAAATTTTTATTTTTAAGTTGGTATTTCATCATAAATTGTTAGAGCATTTTCAGCAGTATGTTAAAAATTTTTTTTGCGTAATATATATACCGTCACATCACTAATGTGTAAAAGGGTTGTGTATTTTATATCGCCTTTTTACACAGCCACGTAAGCATACTCTCTCTTTCCTCCCCCTTTCCCACTCAGAGTTCTCTTTCTTCTCTCTCATTCTTTTACGCCTCTTTGTTTCCCACTTTTCTAGAGCACTATAAAAAAAATCTGTAATTAGCAGTAAGGTAAGAACTATTCGATCATCTTTTATTTTTTTAATTATTTTTTTAAATAAACATAGTTTAATTCATCATTTTCGTTTGATCTTATCTTTAGCAATCATCGTTATAGATTATAGGGTTTTTTTATAGATTTTTTATTCTTTTACATTCTATTCTAATGGGATAAATATGTACCAGCTAGTCAAAGATTAAATAAATATTTTAATCACATTTTTATATAATTGTTGATATAAAACCTTTGATTATGTAATTTCTACATACTTGAATCTTATTTTATTATTTGTTATTAAGTTAGAATTCTAGTGGCGGCAGGATATATTTGCTATTGGCGGGATGGGAAAGTGAAATATAGGGTGAACTTATTATTTTTTTCTTAATTGAGAAGGATTGGGACTTGAGGTTTAATTGCGGAAAAGTAATAGCGAAAAAGTAAAGTAAATTAAGTTAGTTTGTAAAAGTTATGTAAGAATAGTTCAATTTTTTTTGTGTAAATCTACTTTAACACATTAAATTTACACAAAAATACATACGCAACAACTGGAGATGCTCTTAGAGTATAGAGCATCTCCAACAGTATATTAAAACACTCTTTCGTGTAAAATATACACCATTACGTATTATGTGTAAATTTTTTTTATTTCCAACGTTAAGATACACTGCCACCTCACCAATGTGTAAAATAATTATCTATTTTACATAACTTTTTTACACACCCATCATATTTCATTTCTCCTCCCGCTCTCTCAGACATGACAGTGATCGGTTGTTATTAGGAAATATATTTTTATACAAAAGGTATAAAACAATTGCTGAAATTAAAAATAAATAATTAAAATTTTTTGTGTAAATTTATTAAT